ACGAATGAACGAATCACAGAGTGACTACGTGTAAAAAATGAATTTACGTGCAAAAGATGAATCTACATGTTCCAAGTAAACCTGCGTGACTAAAACAGCTTTATGGGCTTAGGACTAAATGAGTACGTGCCAAAATTCAAACCAGAGGTTTGGAATAAATTTATATGTTGAAGATGAGCCCGCGTGTTTCAAAATGATTCTATGTATAGGAAGTGAACTTACAGACAATTATTTACGTGTGGGGAAATAAATCTACGTGATCAAAAAACTTCACGCATTCTCGAAAATTGCTCATGCTTTTAGGCAGAAATGCCATCGGATGCTAAAAAGAGACGCGATGCAGCGAAGAAACAAGCAGCCAAGAATCGTAACAAAGTGCGCGATCAAAAATTGGTAACTATTTTAAACTGTTTTTCTCAGTGACTGTACAATATAGGAGCATATATACGATGAGCGAATATTTAAATTCCACGGAGCGTGAATCTGTTGTTCGCTTCCTTAGCAATTTCCACATAATCTTCCTCAATCCATTTCTGAGCACGAGCTCTTAACGCAGCATTCAGCTTTTCGCTATCGTATGCCGGTGCCGGTGTTGTTGATCCCCTGATTTTATTAATTAATATCTCAAGCAGATGTTAATTCATGGGCTAGATCCTGTATCTTTGTGCACCTGGCAACTTTTCCATCGAGTACATTTCTTGCATTTTCGGTATTTGCACTATTTCGAACATTTGAGTTAGGCTTTTTTGCTGTTCTTTTAACAGATCATCAGTAGTATTTGAATGTTCGTTGCGTCCATCTGTTATCCATCATCCTTGTCACATGCCGGCCCAGTTTCTCTTCCTGCCTACCATCTTTTTTATTGCCTTTTAGACTGTGTTTGATTTTGACAAAATTACATCTTAAATGCTTTGTTTTGAGATAGCAAAGCAAATTATGTCTTGAATTTATAAAGAGACATAAATTCATACATTTAGAGACAAATTACATTTTATTAATGCATATTTTTTTTTAAAAAAAAACGCACAAACGCAGTATAAAGATGTTCATGTTAGTAGATCTGAAATCAGTTAGCCGAGCCATACGAGGTTCTCGCGGGATCTACACCTGCACTGTAGTGTAACATGCGGGGATTTCCACATACATAGTCCGGAAAGGGTTCGAGGTTATATTCGTTAAGTGTAAATTTGCTTCGAAATGCAATGCAATCGAAAATTTCAGGATAAGGAAAATAACGAAGGTATTGGTTCGCCGACACGAGAGCCAAGTCCGGATGCACCGATCGAAGGTTAACATTTTGTTTAGCTACACCAATTTTTGCAGGAAAAACCCGTTCGCCTATGAATGTTTGCTGTTGTTGATCGAGGCGTTTTCGTTCGGATCACAAACAAATTTCCTGTGATTTTCATAAAAGGAAATCGGGGGTACCATAGAAATCTGGTTTGATTTTTGTGAGAATGGCTTTATGTTGTGCAAATCAACTATGAAATACTGTCAGCAGGGCAAAAATTGATCAAAAATGGTATCAAACCGAAGCATGGGACTAGCATCCCGGAACTGCCGCTTGCCGTGTATCCTGGTTAACCTCTCTTCCCCATATTTAGGTTTTGATGAAGTGGTACTTTGGTGTTTAATAGTTGTAATAATGGTTAGACTGTAATAATAATGATTAATAATGATTAGATAATAATTAGAACAAAACGAACGGATGATTAGATTGTCTTTTCTTCTGCTTCTTTCTACCGCTTTTCCCTTTTCCTTTTCCATTAAGCACTGCGGCCATCATACTGACGAGGTCCTGCCGCGGTGTTAAGGCGTATATGACTCAATGAACCGAAATGTCTTATCTCACTCTTATCTTTTTCTCTCATACTGTTCTGTCATGCTGTAATCTGTCGCGCCTTCGTAATTTAGGCTTC